GTATGAATGTTTATTACATGTCAATTTTTTGGAGTCGTGTAAGGCTTGGTTGGGGGATATTTGTCTGGCTACAATGGCTTTTTTCCCAGGCTATGTTATTTTTATTACTATTTGTTAAAACTTACTGACTGATGTTCTAGTTACACTCTTTCTGGTGTTAAGTTATTTGGGTTTTTTCTTTGACGGTTTCTTAAAGGGGTGCTTAGATTTGATTGGGTTGTATTTTTAATTCTATAGTTTTATATGCGTCTGAAATTAATTTAATTTACTAATAGATTTTATATGGTTTTGTGTAATTATTTATATATGCTATTTGAATATATATATGGATATATATATATATATATATATATATATATATATATATATATATATATATATATATAAAGATTTAATTTCTATTGTAAAAAAATGTTTCTATCCATTTGTAAGTATTAATTTTTAAGACGTATATTTGTTGGTGTCTGCAAAAACCGTTATTTCATTTCTTTGATTTATTAATTTTTTTTTATTTTGATAATGTGTAGTTTTTCATGTAGGCATAAAGGGCATGGGTCATCCCAGGTTCTACAAGTTCTTGTTCTGTTATTATTTTCCATTTTACTGTTGATGTTTTATTTGTTTCTTTTAAATGCCAACAATATTTAGATAGGGATGTTTGGCTTCGGTTTCTAATATTATTAAAGGAACTTTGACGATGTCTCCACCTCATTTTAAATTAATTTCTTGTGGATCTTATATATATCGTTTCCATAATTGGATCGTCAATGGATGCATTGGTATACTACGGATTCTATGCAGTATTTTTTATTCAAAGTGCAATTTCCAGGGTTTCTACAATTACATATTTTTTCATTATTGTCTAATTTCATTTTAGGATCTTTATTTATTTGATTTTGGCATGCGTATTTTTTCAATATTTTATCATTATGATTTTTTATAATCCTTTCTAAATGTTCAGTACAGCTGTAAATGTTAGGATGTTTTTTATTAAAAATCTTGCTAAGTTTACTATTATTAGGAAAATGTTTTTCGATTAAAGCTAGTAATTTTTGTACTAGCTTATTACTAACCATTTGTGTGAACGGGGATTGGTACCAAATGTTTTTTTTCTTTTTCTGTTTTTCGTTTGGTTTGTACTGTTATTTTTATATATTTGATGTTAGGGTGCCTATAGTCACTATCTTTTGAGTTTGGTTGTAAAAATTATTATTTATAGAATATTTCTTCATTTGCGGAATTTCTACTAATTCTTTTCTCAATTGATGAAGTTATGTGCTTAATTATAGAGGGACGATGATTTGACCTGGGGTGTACATACAAAGGAGTAGTATTATGTTTTCTGTATATGTTATTCAATAAGTCTAATGTTATGTCGAGGAAGTTTACCCTTTTCAATTTTGTGTTAACCGTAATTTTTAAATTTAGGTTTCTGAATTCTCTATGTATTATTTTTCTAATTTTATCTATTTTAAAGTTAGTAGACCTCCTGGCTACCATAAGGCCATCATCTCTGTATAGCCCGGTGTCTTTAGTATCTATTTCACGGTGCGCAGTTAGATTATATAGTATAAATAGACCGACAAGTTCAGAAGACTCTGCAGAGTCCAATGATGCCATTGTGATATCAAAATGGTTTTCGGATTTATTAATCCATTGGTCACCATTTTTTTTATTGCGCTGAGAATTATGTTTTTTACTTCGTCTATTAGGTTTGAATATATAGTTGCAAACCTCAGGGCAGTCGTGAATCGATCTCTTGATATTGACTGGTAGCAAACTTCAATATCAAACTGTATTAGGGTGCAATTTGGTTTGTCGTTGATGCTGATAAACTATTTGGTGACTTCTTTTGTATAAATCTAGAGTGTTAATCCCAGGTATTCCTTAATTTGCTTGGAAGTACAAAAAAATAAAATAAAATAAAAAATTAAAAAAAAAACAACATTTTAATAAAAATTATGAATGCATTTGATTTGGGAATTAATGCAAATATCAAATAATTTTCGGATTTACATGAAACTTTAAGGACTTATTCACAAATGAATAAAATTATTGTAGAAATATTTCTTTAAAAAAAACATGGTAATTAATTTATTTGATTTATGAAATTTTGAGAAATTAAATTTTTTACCTCTTAATATTTATATTAGTTAAAAGCAAAAGTCCTTGGAGAATTTAAATCCTCAATTTCTTTTTGTAAAACAGGACCTCTCCCCCACACAATTACTGAAAGTCTGCTTTAAATCGTAAAATAAAAATGAAATAAAACTAAAACATTATTTAATTTGAAAAGCTTTTGAATACTTTTATGAATAAGAAATATTATGGACATTATCCTTAAGAAAATTTTTTTTTCGATGAACAATGAATTTTTACAAGGTTTATTTTCATTTTTTGTACTGATTAGGTGATATGATTAAGTAACAACTATATTGAATAATCATAAATGGAATAGCTAACTACAATTTAGCAACATCCAGTATTTTAAAAATAATTTTGATTTTTTTTTGTATATGTATAAACCTTCCGATTTCTTTTTAGATACGGACGTCCAGACACGACATTAATATAAAATAAAAGCGATAACTATAGTAAATTTAAAGACAAAGTAACTTCTTTCTTTCTATGGGTCGTGTCCTTTCAGGACGTAGGCGATCATGGCTCTCCACCTCCCTCTATCCCTTGCAGCTTTCAACAAGTTCCTTCCCTCTGCTTCCTCCCACAGATCACGTTCTGTCAACCACTTGCTTAAAACCTCTAGATATGTCATGCGTTGTTTTCCCTTGTCTCAATTTCCCTCTGTTCGACCCGTGAGTATCTGATTCTCCAGGCCCTTCTTCCTCATTACGCGTCCCAGGAACTTCAGCTGCCTCTTCCTGATGTTAAGTATTAGCTTCCTCCTTCTTTGCATTCTCTCTAAGACCTAATCGTTGCTCACACGCTCGGTCCATGATATCCTTAGCATCCTTCTGTAGAACCACATCTCCGTCGCCTCGAATATTGACCGAAATACATTTCGATGATATTGTACATAATCAAGAAGAAAGAAAGAAAAAAATAAAAACAAATAAAGTAAGTAAAAAAAGACTTAAATAAAAGTAATGCGACTAGTCGGGCTGCGTAGGTCTGAGCTCTATCTGAACTGGTGACATACTTAATAGGCAATGTAATTCTTGCTTTAATTTTATAAATAATCTTTTAAAAATCTTTAATGTCTTGTATGCCCTGTTTTTCAAGGAACACATTTTTATTTCAACTTATTTCTTTCAAATGTCCATTTTAAATAATTTATTTCGTACAGTATCAGCTTTTTTAGCACAATGTATCAAGTGAAAAAGGCAAATTAAAGTTGGCAAAAATCAAAGAAAACTCATCGACTGGAAGCTTGGAGTGAGGAGTGTGACTGGATTAATTTTGGGGAAATATGCCAATAAGCATCCACGATTACTGAATCAATAACATACAATAAATTTAACTAAAAATTCACAGACAGAGAGATACAAAAACACACTAACGCACAGATATATATATATATACAAACACCCACTCGAGATAGATACAAAAGTTATTTAAAAAACATATCTGGTTAGAGATTTTAAAATTATATATTTTAGTTAGCGTAAAGAATCATTTTAGCATCTAAGTTATACCAAGTTATACGAATAGTATATTTTGTTACAAATTGTGATGCGTCCGACAAACATTGATGACTTAGACTCGCCACTAATATATATATATATATATATATATATATATATATATATATATATATATATATATATGATAAAATATAAGGTATGCTATATTTATGAGTTAAAGTGTCATGTAAATATAAAAGTGGACATTGAAGTCAGCACCCAGAAGCGACAGTTTTATGCTAAACGCAATCGTCAGGCCTTGTGCCTGACAATTGCGTTTAGAATGAAACAGACTGTACCACAGATTGGCCCAATCTTTGTGAGCAAAATTGGGTAGATGATGGTTGTTCTAGCACGAATTCATAAGTCATTGTGACCGAGGGTTTCCGTGTAGTGGCCTTGGTCAAATTGTTGATCATGTCAGATTATGCGCTCTTTCGCAGAAACTGCAACAAGAAAACCGCTCAGCAGAGTTTCAGTATAAACCACAGGTGGGCTCTTTGGATGCTGAACAAACGCAATTGTGCTTGAGTAAGCGTCTGCATCAGGGATTATCTAGCCGCTATTGCAGATGGATGTGTTCGAAAATGTGTAAATGTAGCCGGCCATTATTTCAAAAATCCTTTCTATTTTTCAACTCAGATTTTGTAATGCCTTTAAAATCAGATCCTGGTTTTTACATGAGTTCGAGCCCTGGCTGCTGGTGCAATTTACGCAACTAACGCCATCAAGCTCGTCCTGGTAGGTTGCTTAGTCTGGAATCAGGCTGCAGGTGTGGGTCACTCAGTGAGCCAATAACGATTCTCGGGTGAAAAGAACTTTCACTACAAATAAATAAATAAATAAATAGTCTGAAAAAATGATTTCAGGGAAGTGTGTAAATGCTGGTTTTAGAGTCAATAAATGATGTTTTTGTTAACTCTTACCGCCTCGAGAAGCGGTTGTGAACCATTTAGAGAACCAGTTTGTAGAAGTCAAAGTTCATGTTAAAATTTTGATGAACTACATGACCTTAAAGAAGGTCATCCCGAGGTCAGAAATAAAGTAAAAATAAAAATAAATTCTGGACAACCGGGAGAGAGGAAATATATATATATATATATATATATATATATATATATATATATATATATACAGAGAGAGAGGGGAAGGATAAAGGCGACAAATAGACAGAGAGACAGCGACAGTAAAGAGAGAGAAAGTCAGAGAGACAATAAATTCTGGACAACCGGGAGATAGAGGATATATATATATATATATATATATATATATATATATATATATATATATATATATATATATATATATATATATATAGGCAGAGAAAGAGAGGGGGAGGGACAAAGGCGCCAGACAGACAGAGGGACAGCGACAGTAAGAGAGAGAAAGTCAGAGAGACAAAGAGAGATAGACAACGACAAAGAGAGAGAGAGAGAGAGAGAGAGAGAGAGCGGCAGACAGACAGAAAGAGACAGGCAGGCAGACAGTGGCAGAGTGAGAGAGAGAGAGAGTGAGAGAGAGATACAGTCGGAGAGATAGACATCGGCAGTGAGTCAGAGAGACAGATAGAGTCAGACAGACAGCGACAGAGTAGGAGCGAGAGAGTCTGACAGACAGCGTCAGAGAGAGAGACAGAGAGAAAGAAACAGGCAAACTGTGACAGAGAGAGACAGATAGATAGATACACAGGCAGTGACAGGGAGAGAGAGAGTGATAGAGAGAGAGTGATAGAGAGAGAGAGAGAGGGACGGACGGACGGACGGACGGAGAGAGAGGCAGAAGCGGACAGAAGAAATATTTTTCTTTTTACTGGGGAATGTGCAGTTAGCGTAACGGTTATCGACCCAAGAGAAATGGAATCGGCATGGAGGGTTCAAGATCAGATCGAATCAGTTACGTTTATTTCATTTTCTTCTGCTATGGGTTTAAATCTTCTTCCTCGAGGCGTGGGAGATCATGGCTATGCCATACTTTCTATTCTTTGTAGATCTTAGAAATACTGTCTTTTTACAATCTCTACCATCAAATGTTCTGCCATCCATTTATTTACCCAAGTATTCTATGTAGGTGCTATGATGCTTTCTCGTTCCCCTCTTAACTTTGTCCTGTTAGTGTCAAACTTTCCAAGCCCCTTTTCTCATTATCGTTCCAAGAAATTTCAATCTGTTGCTTTCTGATGTTAGGTACAAATGTCTTTTTTGTTTTTATTTTCTCTAAAACTTCCTCGTTGCTTCCATGTTCAGTCCATGTCATTCTTAGTATCCTTCTGTAGAATCACATTTCTGTTGCTTCACTTCTTCATTTGTGGAGATATTCTCCAGGATTCACTGCTATATAAGAAAATTGATATTAAATAACAATTGTTGTTACTTCTTCTTTGTATTGTGTTCCTTCTGGGTTTGGTGTTCACGATTCTCCACAATTTCCGTAGCTCTAAGTATTGTATATCTCCTTACTATTTTCCAGTCCTTGTTCTGCATTCTATATACACGAGATCATTAAGTAGGTTACTCACTGTTTCTTTCTGCTTCTTTTACAATCATATCCTGTGAGTGTCAAATTCTCCAAGTCATCTTTTCTCATTACGTGTCCCAGAAATTTTTACTGTCACTTTCTGATTCTAAATATAAGTGTACTTTAATAAAATTGTACCCACTTGCCTTGTGGAGGGTATTATATCTAGGAGAAAGACAACTGTTAATTAAAACTCTCTTGTAGAACAATCTATCCTTTAGCCTTGGTTGGGTAGCCAGCTTAGGAGGAAAACTCTAAATTTAAAACCAACATGAAGTGGAAGTAGCTCCTTCAGACTATCTTGCCTTAGATCAGGATTTCTCAACCAAGGGTGAAGTCTCCCTCTGGATGCGGGAATTTCAAGGTTTTAGGCGTAGGGGGCATTAATCTTTTGTTTTTGTTTTTTTTTCTTGCTTTTTTATATACAGAATTTGGAGCTCATTATGAGTGTCAAAAAGACGGTATGATGAATCTTACATTCAATATGGATTCACATCAGTCATCATCAATGAAAAAGAAAGACCCCAGTGGGTATTTTTTTTTTGCGAAACTTTGTCAAATGATTCTTTAAAACCTACAAAGTTGTAGCAACATTTGCAGAATATTCAACCTCAACACAAGACAAGGAACAAAACCTATTTTTGAACGCCAAGAAAGGGTTTCAAAAAGTTAATAATTAGTTCTGAATTAAAACAAATTACTGTTTAAAAATCCATCAACATTTTCTATTGCTATTAAATTTCTTAAAATCCTCTTTAGAAATAATCCGTATAAATTTATATGGTGATTTTCTAAGCGTAGAATAAAAATCGCACATGGCAGATGTCTGGGGAATCCAGTGAGGATCAAACTCGCTATTCAGTCGTAACTGATCTTGTAAGTAAGCAAGCTTGTTAACCATTACACCACGTCGAGCTGAGGTGATCCCATGTAAATGTATATGCAATAATACGAAAATAAATGCAAATTTTTCAATAATATATGAATATTATTTGGAAGGAAACTTTTGAGTCGGACAATCTTGGAAAGCGAGAGAATTGCATCCTGACTTATGATGAAAAGAGTTTTCGTGTTCATAAAAAAAATAAATAGATAAATATTAATTAGTGTTACAAATATTTATAATAAAATAATTAAAACACTTATAATTATCATTAATTCATTCATTCTAAACCAATGTCAATTGACTTCGTTTTCCTCTTCTATACACACAAACGCGTGACATTCTTATTATAGGACAAGCAGTTCACGCAGACAAGTCGTTAACACGTGCGTCATCGAAAATTTCTTCTCCTGGACACTTATTACACACACACACACACACACACACACACACATATATATATATATATATATATATATATATATATATATATATATATATATATAAACAAATTTAATCTCCTGAACACTCATTACACACACATACACACACATACACAAAATATATATATATATATATATATATATATATATATATATATATATATATATATATATATATATATATATAAACATACGAGAAGACTGTATACACTTTTCTTATTCCTTATTTTATTGTTCTGTCGGTTCCAATCCCTATTTGATCTACATTTGACCCCAAACTTACAATTTTTACTCAGTATTTCTGTCTCTCGGGACTCCCATACCACATAACAGCCAGATAATAAATAATACTCGTTTTGTTGTTTCCACGTCTTGATGTTTCTAATTTTTTATGAGCATTTTTGTATATATAAATGAAAAGAGGTTTATAATTATTTACTCAGAGTTACGCCTCCTCTACATGGTGCACTGGGTAAAAAAAATGTTGAGAATGACTGCCTTAGACACACACACACTGCTGAATTGGTTGTAGTACATGTGCCCTAATCACAGCTTACGGAACTCGTTCATTCATATTAATTTCCTGTTTATCAATGAATCTTTAGCTTAGTCTCATACATGATCACAAACCATTTACTGTGTTCCTCAGTCGTCACTCATCTAAATAGCTACCAGGTTCAACGTTGCTTAACCTTCGTGATGAGAACTGATGTTTCAGTGAGACTTGAATTGATACAGTAAGGCGGGCAACGTTTCGTCTGTGGAAAAGCGCTTGTTGTAATTTCTCGGGCATATAATGATTTTTTTTTTTTTTTGTTTAGCGGTATATCAACCCGTATGGGTTATTTTATGCCGAAATCTTAATATGAAACGCTAAACTTTATAGTTCAAGAGAATAACACTATTTCAACATTAAATTATAATTATTTAGCAGCATTTTGTTTTTACCAAATAAATTTACAAAATCAAACAAGGAGTAAAAATTTGTTTCTTCTTCTAAGACATGCTGTAGGGCGTAGAAGGTGGACAGAGGTTGTGACGGCCCCCGGGCATCCATATCGGGGGGGGGGGGCATCCAGTCAAAGAGTGAAATAAAAATTTAGTTTTTGAAATTTTGAATTGCCTCTGTTAACTTCGTTGTACAAGTCTCACAAAATGGTGTGAATGTGGATCCGTGTTTTGATAAGCTGGACCAGAGTAGCCCCCTCTCAGTTGAGTCTTAGGAGCATACAATCACGGGGTTGGCCTCAGGCATCACCAAACCCCTGAACGTCACTGAAGACATGACATTAGCATTTTTTTTTTCATTTTTTTGACAATGTGTGACATGTCTTCAATTTTACTATAATTGATTGATTTATTGATCGTCATTTGGCAATAAAAATGTATTGATTGCCATTTTACTATAAAATGTATTGATTGTTATTTTACTCTAAAAATGCATAAAACTGTATTTTTTTTTTTATAAAAATGTATTGTTTGCATTTTTATTATAAAAATATATTTCTATACTTTCCTATTTTATTTTATTTTATTCTGGGATTCATTAGTTGCCCATAGCTGGGACCCTAACAGGTGCTACCATCCCGGGTCAGTGTGGACCTAAAAGCAAAAGCAATCAACAGGTGGTTCCACGCTCCACGCAAACTTCAACCTCTCGATCAGAGGCCTTACTGTTGGATGTAGTTTATCGTCATAGCCAGGACAGGCATATAATTAGAAAAGAGGGCTTGGAAAATTTCACAGTCACAGGACATATTAAAAGCAAGAGAGACAGTGGAAAACAGCGCATATCTTGCCTAATGAACTTGTGTAAATGAATGGAAGAAGAGGGTTTAAGAGAGATGACAAAAAGGCAAAGTTTACTAAGCGCTACAAAGGACAGGAAATCATGGAGAGCCAACGATTCTAAAGGGACAAGATATTAAATAACAATTGTTATAGAAGAATTTAACTGACTTCATCAGTGTATTTTTTTAAAATATTAGAACGGAGTTAGTTCGGATAATTGAATAATGTTTGGATGATTTCAGTTCTTCTCTTCATTTTACGTCCGGACAATTGAAGTCCGGAAAATCGAGATACTGATAATCAAAAAAGTACTGTAATACTGTAGTGAGTTTTATCTTCTAAAAATTTCCCTAGCCAAAGAGAGAAAAGATTGGCCTCTGTCAATAATAGATTACTTTTTAAATAAAGATTTATATTTTCTATGGCAATGAATATTGGACAATTTCCTTACAGATAAAGAAAAAAGATTCGCAGGTACGGGGATGTGGTTGCATAGACAGATATATGAGAATACCATGAATAGAACAGATCATTGTATAAAGCCAAAGAGCCTCTCAAGGTAGAGGTTACTAAATTAGGTTGTTGTAAGGGCGTAAATGGGGGAAGTAAAAGTGCATATTATGAGGATATGTAGGATCGATATCGATTGACCCGAGACGTGAAGAGGTTAAGATTGTAGTGTTGGAGAAAACGTCCTTTCAGGAATCTTTTTCACAAAGTAACAGCTCTTGGGATGGAGCTGTCACTTTTTACTTACCAATGGAATGGAATGAGGATGAGTTGACCATGTGTGTTCGTTGCATGGTAGGTTCAAGCTGTTATGGTTTGAACTGGTGGAACTAAGGAATGTAGCTCGTCTGAACATTTGCCATGGAAATATCGATAGAGTAGCAAGAGGCTAGTAAGTTTTCGTCTGTGGGTTAAAAATCGAAGTAGACTTTGACTTAAATTCGAAAAGAGTTAAAATTTCTGGGACACACAATAAAGAAGGATGACTTGGAAAATTTAACACTCACAGGACAAATTGAGGAAAGTACGGTGTAGGAAAACAGCGAGAAATGTACCTAATGAGTTAATGTGATGGATCTTAGGGCAGTGACATAGAGGGTAAATAGTCAAATGTTGCTTAAAACTTCAGGGGAAAGAAAACTGAGGAGGGCCATTATCGCCTACTTCCTGAAGGGATATATCTCATAGATGATGATGAAGATGATGATGAAGATGATGATGATGATGATACCGCCATAAACACGAACAGTAGCCGAAAAAAAGAGTCCTGCTGCCATATATGGGCAGGAGCTACCCAGTTTTTACTTTTCCCTCTCTCTCGTCTCCGCGTCCTTTTGGGTGACGAATTATATTAACCCCCCCCTACTTATTATTATATTTTCCACAGATGAGACGGCAGAAACATCTCACTGCTCTATTACTATTTCCATAGAGAGTGTTCAGATGAACTACACCCTTTAGTTCCACCGGTATTTACCTTCCCGGCTAAGACCCACCATGCCACGCCCATTGTAGCGAACCAACCTCAACCGAATCACAAGAGGTTGCTTCCCCGATCACTAATCTTAAGCTATTCAAGTCTAGGGTTAAACACGTTATTTTCCGCACATATCCGCATAAGCTGTGCCTCTCTACCTCGAGTGGCCCTTGAGCCTTGTACAGGGCGAACATCATTGTAAACAAACAAACAAAAACGATTACTAGCTATTACTCCATGGTGAGACTCCCTTTTAAATATGTATTCACTTCCCCCCGCCCCGCGAATACCACCACTACATTCACATCCGTTAGAAATAGCGCCGAAATTCTATTCTGTGTGATGTCCGGACCACTTAAAAATGCAATGGGTATTATTTTTTTTTTAAATGATAAGAAAAGCAGTAATAATTACAACACACACACACACACATACACACACACACACGTGTGCGCACACGCACGCACGCGTGCGCGCGCACACAAAAGAATAGTGGCGACATCATAAATAGCCTAAATGACCAATTAGAGAGAAATCTATAACTGAATAATTGTAGTCGAAGTGGGGCGTTTGCTTACCCAGAGGTCCAAGAACCCCGTCTTTCCCATTTTCCACCACTTGCTTTTCTTTATGTCTGTTCCTTTCGACACTTCACTTGGGTGGGTAGCAGTACACGATATTAGTTGGAGGGTATATAGAAAAAAAAAATCAAAAAAACTAGTCTACTCCGATCCCTACCCGAAAATCTTTGTCATTGGGATCATTCTCTCTCTCTCTCTCTCTCTCTCTCTCTCTCTCTCTCTCTCTCTCTCTTTTAATTGTCTTTCTATTTTCCTCCATCCTCCTGCTTCAATAAACTCTGTTCCTTTTATCCTATCTGTCCTTTTCTTCGTCTTCTTTTTTTACACGTCACCCCCCACCGCTTTCATTAAAAATGTTTTCTTTCCTTTTTTAATCGTTGCTTTTCTTTGTCTTTTTTTTCTTTCTACCTTCCTTGTTACCCCCCACCCCCGCCGGCTTAAAGAAATGTTTTCTTTTCGTTTTTATTTGCTGTCTTTTTGCTCACTTTGTCGTCACCATTTTTTTTTTTTTTGCATTTTATTCTCTCTTTGTTTCTTTTTCTCTTCTTTTTCTAATTTCCTCGCCCTCCCCTTCATTAAGCCACTTTCTCTCCATCTGGCCTTTTTTTTTTCTTGTTTTGTTTTCATGTTCTTTTCTTTTCTCCACTTTTTTCTTCCTTCTCCTCTTTCTGGATTCCGTTTTTAAACTTCTTAAAAAGTCATTCTTCTTTTTTTTACTTACTCCTTTGTTGCCTTTGTTATGCTTTTACCGGATTGACTCGCATTTATATACTCCCTTCTTTTATTTCCTTCTTTGTCTTTTCACTCTCTCTTTATATTACCCTTTTTATTTTTATTTTCTTTTACTTCTACCTCGTTTCACATAGCCTCTCTTTTTTTTTCGCCTCTTCTGATTCCTTCCTTCTCTACATTTCCCGCCTTGCAGTTTTAATCCTATTCTCTCTCATTGTTTCGGTTTTCCTGTTTACTAACCCCATCCTCCTCTTCATCCTTCCGTCTCCTCCTCCTCCTCCTTCATCTTATTCTTCTTCTTCCTCTTCTATGTGCCGCATCCCCCCTTCCAGACACGGGTGTTTATGTCTCTCTAAAACTTCCTATCCCTAGTGACCCTGAGTAGTGTCTCTCCCTTAAGTCTCTTGCACAACATTTCGTCATTCATCCACACAAACTCATTAGGTAAATAGCTTGCTGTCTCCTCTATCTCTCTTGCCTCTTGCCCTTTGAGTGTTACGTTATCCAATCTCTCCGTCCTCATTTACCGTAATTTCTCGAAAACAATACGCACCCAAACAAATGATCCAAAATTTAAGAAATATATCTATCCCTACGTATAATACGCATCTATAAATTTTGTCAGAAAAACAACAAAAAAATAATTACCATATTGAGTCCCCCCCCCACGAGGGTGTCACAAGGTGGCACAAGGCCTTTTGAACGTGGGTATTCCGAGCCCGTGGGCTCGGCCAAAAATATGCCCATTGAACCCGTATATACGGGTTCAGGGCCGGTTTTACCTCCCCGAAGGAGACACCGCCCTTCGGCGTAGCCTCCTTCGGGTTCCTCCCGTCCGTAGGAAGAGAGTTCAACCGAGCAGTCGGTTCAAAAGTGAACGACTGACTCACAAAAAAATAATTACGAAGACATTTTGTCGACCTTGACATTAAGAATAAGATAAACTATATGGCTAAAATAACGTTTAAAATTACCATCGCGGTTTTCCCGATAAATATAATATTTTATTTTCCCGCCAAAATGTCGTCAAAACATGCAAATTATAGTGAAAATTTTAAACAAAAATTAATGGAATTAGCAGAAAGAATAGGAAACAGAACTGCAGCTAGAGAATATGAGTTGAATGAGGCTAACATACGTTTATGGAGAAAGAATAAAAATGAACTAAAAATGTGTAAATCAAGTGTCAAATATATAGGTAGAGGAAGAAAAGCTCAAGTTGAATTTGTGAAAGAAAGACGATCAAGAGGATGTTCCATAAGTACTGTGGAAATAAGGATGAAGGCAAAAGAACTTATGAAAACCATGTATCCTGTAAACATATTTAAAGCTTCAGCAAACTGGTGTTTTCTTTTTATGAAGAGGGTTGATATAGCCGGTATAATAGTAAAATGTCAATAAAATATGTATTTATTATTATAAATAAATAACGAAAATATATATTTGTTTAGACCTATTTATAATACGCACCCTTACTATCACATTGCTTCGTCCACCGCAAGGAAAGTTGGCTCCCTGTGCCGCGCCAGGAATTTTTTCTCCCAGGAATCGATCCTCCAGATCTACAAATCAACAATTCGCCCTTGCATGGAGTATTGCTGCCATATATGGTCTGGAGCCCCTTCTGTTTGCCTCGGGGTTCTTGATAGGCTCCAGAGGCGGATATGCAATATAATTGGCCCTGCTCTGGCATCTCGTCTACAGTCACTTTCTCACAGACGCGCCGTCGCCTCTCTCTGACTTTTTTACAAATACTTTCATGGCAATTGCTCCGAGGAGCTGCATTCGCTGGTTCCCAGACTTCATGAGTTCAAGCGCCCTACGAGGCTGGCATCCCGCTCTCACCCCTTCACTGTCGAAACTCCTAAATGTAGCCGTCTCTTCTACTCCAATAGCTTCATGTCTCGCACCTCTCGCCTGTGGAACTCCCTTCCCTATTACATTTTCCCTGAGAGCTATAATCTCCAGCTATTCAAATGTAATGTCAAACGACATCTCCAGTTGCCTTGATCTATCCACTACCCTTCTCCTCATCCTTTCTTCTATCACTTCTCCAAATTTTCTGTAACCCTTTGCGTCCCAGTGGCTTCCCGCCTTGCTTGAGATAAAAGGTTTTTAAAAAAAACAAAAAACAAAAAACATGTAATTTACAGTAAAAAAAAAAAAAATGCGTATTATTTTCGAGAAATTACGGTATGTGTCCAAAAAACTTCAGCTGTCTCTTTCAAATTTAGTGTAAGTGTTCTTTTTGTTATTTTCTTTAAGGTTTCTTGGTTGCTTACTCATTCCGTTCACAGAATCCTCAGCATCTTTCTGTAGAGCCACATTTCTGTTGCTTCCAGTTTTCTCTTCATCTGTGAAAAGATTGTCTAGCGGTCACTGCCATATAAGACCAGTCCAGCACTCTTTCGTTTGTTTCTAACGAAATTTTAAATTTCTTAATACTTTCTATTGCTTTTGAAAAGAGTCTTTTGCTAACTCAATACATATTCGGATTTGGCGTTGCATTTTTCATCTGGGAAGTGTTTTAACAGAACACGGAACTACCATTCTACACTATCTGTTTTTTTTTTTTTATGGAATGACGCCGTTAAATCTTCCTTACTTTAATCAACGTTTTCTTCACTGACTTTCTCTTGAATTTCTCGTTTTGATATTATCGAAATTTACCAGAGCCTTTTCTTTCTTTCTTTTCTTATCATTCATTTCCCTTTTGTATCTTTTTCGCGTTCACCAATAAACTACATCCGACAGCAAGGCCTCTGTTCTGGTGGTTTTGAGGAGCGTGGAACCACCTCTCAATTGCGGGTGTTCCCAGGTCCACCCTCACCAGGGGTGGTAGCACCTGTTAAGGTCCCAACTATACGCAAATAGTTAACCCCCTAAATGGGGTCAAAACACTATGGAAGTGAAAAAATAGATTTTTATACCAGCAATAAATTTTTTGAGGAAAAATTATTACTAGCAATATATTATTAACAGCAATACATTTTTGAAGAAAATAAATATTACCAGCAATACATTTTTGGAAAAAAATATTAGCAGCAATAAAAAATCTTGTCGGCATTAAATAACCCATTGAGGTTGATATGCCGTAAAACAAAACAAACCAAACTATCTTCGCGTTTCATTACTGTCTCTTATTTTATATACCAATACTTCTGTTTTTCTCTCTTTCATAACACTTTTTCCTTCAACTTCGTCTTTTCTTTTTTTTTTCCCATTTTTAATTTTATTATTGCTTGCTCTAATTCACGTCATTTTTATTCTTTGTTATTTCTCTTTTCCCTCACGTCATTTATTTTTTTCTTAATCCCAATTTTTCCTTCTTTTTCCTATTGCTATCTTAGACTACTACTACTACTACTACTACTAATAATAATAATAATGATGATGATAAAAAAAAAAATTGTACTAGTCCTCACTTCGTTAGTTCGCCCGACCGTTACGTCCTGGCAATACCCCATAATTAATGGACTATTCTGTTTGGATTGCGTGAAAAAAGACATGACTTGGTTTCAGTGAGAAAATGAAAGAAAGACGGGAGATAGAAATGGGGAGAGAAAATCAGATTATGCTGATAAGAACAGATACTACACTTTGATCTTAACCAAAAGAGTGAGCTTACCAGCAATACCGTAGAAAAATTGCCAAAGTCCCTTCGGTGCTCCCACCCTCACGCGAAAGAGAGGTACTGCCTTGGGGAAAGGCCTCTTGGAGCTTGGACTTAAATTTTTTTTCTTCGGCGACCCCCGAATAGACTGAAAAGCGCACGCGATGTCGACAGTGATAAAATCATCATTTTTCAAACGCACAGTATCAAACGATGGAAAATGTGTAAGGCAATCGCCAAAAATCCAGTTACCATAAATAAAATAACATCGTCTGCTGAATTATTATTTCAAAATTATTATTAAGGGAAGTGTTCGTAAGACGAGGATTTGGCTAATACCAATAATATTATTATTATTATTATTATTAATAATAATAATAATAATAATAATAATAATAACTGGATCTCTGGAAATTTTACCGTTGTTGATAATGAAGATTATCCATTGTCTCGTACTGTTATTCTTTTACCATTTGGCCGTATCTTATCATTCAATCCCTTATCACTTCTAGTCATCGTGATGCATTCATGTATTTATCTAAATGCTATATGACCATGGGTATGGACACGTGGCTGAGTGGTTAGAAGGTTCTCATTCTGACCATGAAACCCGGGTTCGAATCTTACCATGGTCGATTTGCCAGGAAGGGTATCGGACTCGGGGGATCGATAGATGTGCTAACACGAAGTCACATGTCATCATGGCTGAGCCTGCTGGCCTTGTTCAAACTGTGGATCACGCTAGAAACCGTAACGAAGGTCTGCCCAGTATAGTTGCTGTGAGTGTAAACGCAAATGCGTCTGAGCAAGTGTCTGCAAGAGGGATTAGCTATCTGTCCTTTTAGACGGATATCCTCGAATACGAGTGACCAGCTATACATATGATCATGGCAAAGGAATACACATTTTTTTTTTTACTTCATCTTCTTATTTGCCATTCTTTTAATCTTTCTCTCCATTAACACTTTTACACCCCCCCTGCTTACTGATCTTTTCTCTATTGTTTCTTGATATCTAGACAGTTCTTCTATGTCTCTCTTTCATCCTCATCAATTCCCACTTCCCACTCTTTCTCTTTCGTGATAAGAACGCCAGCATCCCGACCATGATACCCGGGTTCGTATTTCACCAGAGTCGATTCGACTTCTTGATGACATTGGTCTGGGGAGACGATCTCATCAAGCGGCACCATTGGAATGTGCCTGAAAACCATACTACGGAACTGTTTGGAATCTGTTGTTGTGCTGAAATCACAAGTCATCGTGGCCGAGTAATTGGGCGTATTGGCTTTGTTCAAACTTTTGATCACGCTAGATTACGCGCTTTACCCCAGAAACTCT